TATATCTATATCTATATCTATATTTATCTCTGTCTTTGTCAGATCTCCATCTCTGTCTCTATCTCTATCTCTATGTCTACATCTATCTCTCTATCTATGTATCTCTAATAATCTCTATATCTCTATGTCCCTATATCTCTAGATCTCTAGCTCTCGATCTATGTCCATCCATCCATCTATCTCTTTGCCTCTCTCTACGGATTTATGCATCTATTTGTCTAGATGTATCTATGTTGATGCAATCATCTCAATCAAGCGTCACACGATCTGTTTGTTTAGTGAATACTCCTCTATTTGTGGGCGATATCTCCACAAGTCATGTATGAAAAATATGCACAACCTATGGTTTCTGGCCCAGTTGTTCGGTCACAATTTTTCAAGCTGTTGATATTAAGGGAGATCAATGCTAGCTTGTGTTATCCCGTTTGTAAGCTGGCAAACTAGCCATTGTTGTTTCGGGAAAAATCACCGCATTTTGGGTTAGCTTTAATCCCGTTTTAGTTGGTTGGTTGGCTGGTTGGCTGCCTGGTTGCCTGGTTGCTTGGTTGCTTGGTTGCTTGCTTGCTTGCTTGCTTGGTTGGTTGGTTGGTTGGTTGGTTGCATCTTTGCTATGATCGGGGGATGGGATTGCATTTGCATCTAGAGAATTTCTTCTGGATCCGAAGACTGATTCATCAAACATTAAACATAGATGGTTCCCCAATCTTCAGTGGACGCATAAATATGGGGCGGTCGGTTGGTTGCTTGGTAGAAATCAACATTCCTGGTGTTTCAACCTGCCAGGGGCTACCGATGCCAGAGGCTGCTGGCGAAGCAGGGGACCTGGCAGCGCGATGGCAGGCCCGGGCTGACCTGGGACACCCAGTCGAAGAAAATCCATTGGGGGTACAAAAAATGTGAAAAATGTGGTGATCAAAAATTTATGGTGGGTTTTCCACATCAAAGTCTTAGTTTACAGGAGGGACTTGGTGGCTCTCCTCAGTTACAGTGGTAATTTCTTGCATAGCTATGGAAATCAATGGCTATGTCGAGCTACCAGAGGGTCAGTGGGATTAAGGCCTAGGAAATTGCAGGCGGATTCGGCATTCTGAAGGCCTGAACCATCGAATTTTGGGGATATCCTATATATACATACATACAGACAGACATACATACATGGATACATAGATACATAGATACATAGATAATCATAGATGCATAGATACATAGATACATAGATAATCATAGATGCATAGATACATAGATACATAGATACATAGATACATAGATAATCATAGATGCATAGATACATAGATACATAGATACATAGATACATAGATAATCATAGATGCATAGATACATAGATACATAGATACATAGATACATAGATAATCATAGATGCATAGATACATAGATACATAGATACATAGATACATAGATAATCATAGATGCATAGATACATAGATACATAGATACATAGATACATAGATACATAGATAATCATAGATGCATAGATACATAGATACATAGATACATAGATAATCATAGATGCATAGATGCATAGATACATAGATACATAGATAATCATAGATACATAGATACATAGATACATAGATAATCATAGATACATAGATACATAGATGCATAGATACATAGATACATAGATACATAGATACATAGATACATAGATACATAGATACATAGATACATAGATACATAGATGCATAGATACATAGATACATAGATGCATAGATACATAGATACATAGATACATAGATACATAGATACATAGATACATAGATGCATAGATACATAGATACATAGATACATAGATACATAGATACATAGATACATAGATACATAGATAATCAAAGATACATAGATACATAGATACATAGATGCATAGATACATAGATACATAGATACATAGATACATAGATACATAGATACATAGATACATAGATACATATAGATACATAGATACATAGATACATAGATACATAGACATAGATACATAGATAATCATAGATACATAGATACATAGATACATAGATAATCATATAATCATAGATACATAGATACATAGATACATAGATACATAGATACATAGATACGACATAGATACATAGATACATAGATAATCATAGATACATAGATAATCATAGATACATAGATACATAGATACATAGATACATAGATACATAGATACATAGATAATCATAGATACATAGATACATAGATACATAGATACATCGATACATATACATCGATACATCGATACATAGATACATAGATACATAGATACATAGATACATAGATACATAGATACATAGATACATAGATACATAGATACATAGATACATAGATACATAGATACATAGATACATAGATACATAGATACATAGATACATAGATACATAGATACATAGATACATAGATACATAGATACATAGATACATAGATACATAGATACATAGATACATAGATACATAGATACATAGATACATAGATACATAGATACATAGATACATAGATACATAGATACATAGATACATAGATACATAGATACATAGATACATAGATACATAGATACATAGATACATATACATAGATACATAGATACATAGATACATAGATACCATAGATACATAGATACATAGATACATAGATACATAGATACATAGATACATAGATACATAGATACATAGATACATAGATACATAGATACATAGATACATAGAAACATAGATACATAGATACATAGATACATAGATACATAGATACATAGATACATAGATACATAGATACATAGATACATAGATACATAGATACATAGATACATAGATACATAGATACATAGATACATAGATACATAGATAATCATAGATAATCATAGATAATCATAGATAATCATAGATAATCATAGATAATCATAGATAATCATAGATAATCATAGATAATCATAGATAATCATAGATACATAGATACATAGATACATAGATACATACCTACATACCTACATACCTACATACCTACATACATACATACATACATACATACATACATACATACATACATACATACATACATACATACATACATACATACATGGACAATAAGCATGATGGTGCATCTTCCTTGTATTCTGCTCAAGTCAACTGTGGATAGGTTCTGTGTGGGGTTGGTTCAACTTGGCTAGGGAGCTCTCACGACTGACCGCGTGGTTTTTCTCTATGTTTGACAGTCAAATCCATGGTTTCAACCGTGGATTTTCTGGCAGGAAGTTATGGAGGCTGCGGCTGTGAATCCCGATCTCGACGCAGCGCCGTGTCTGTTCGGATTTTTGTTTGGGTGGTCCCGTTGTTTGTTGTGTGGTTTCTCGGTTCTTGGATGTTTTTGGGGATTTTCGGAGGTGTCCAGTTCTTTTTTCAAGGATTTTTATTTTGGTGTTTTTTCTTATCATGCTTGCTTTTTGTTGGTGGTTCTCTTTGTTTGGTTTATTTTTTCTCTGGTTCTCAATGGGGTATAAACACCAATCATAATGATGATGGGATACAATGGGACACAAAACATTAACGCGATATGGGCTTGCCGCAGTTTGCCATTCACCATGGGAGATGGGATTCAGGGTTCTCTATTTTTAGACGAACCCAAAAAATTCCTCTGTGAAAAACACCATTTCTATCAATTCTTGTATTCTGGGTTTTGGCATCCCTAATGATCCATGATTCACATTGAGTTGAACATGTATTGATCAGGGGAATTGTTGCCCTTGGGATCAAGCTCCGCTGAGCTCCCACACAATGGTGCAACACGAGGCAAGCTTAGAGCAGCTGCGAGCGATCTACAACTTCATAGAGGCAGTAGTTGATGCTGAATTGGAATGGGTACTTGGGGATCACCTAAAGTATGAAAGGGATATGTTTTTGAAGAAAACGATATCAAGTTAGCAGCAACTTCAAGTGGCATTATATGTGACAGTGCACCTTTGTGTGACAAGCTCAGAGTTTTTTTTTCCCCCGGACTACAAGGACCGAAATGGAGAGTTTTATTTAGCCTCACGCCACACCTTTTTTGGGTGCATTATCTTGTAACGGCTGAGGAGCTGATGGAAAGACCGAGATTCATGCATGCCAACTGAGTAAAATCAACAAAACATTCAAAATATACAGAAATAAACTTTGCGCCATTGGCGAAGTGAGAATATCCTGAAGACACATCAAATCTGGAAGCCGATACTCAAAGAGTTGAAGATGAAGAGTATCTGAGTAGCTAAGTTCATATTTTTTGCTGCATTTTGAAACTTATTTGTGAGTTCGAATCATTCAAACATTCTTGATAAGATTATATGTATTGGAAAACCAGGTTTTTCAAGTGACTAATCCCCAAAATTGTTTTGATTAATTTATGACAATATAAGGGAGTCTGTGGGTTTGGTACAGGATGGGCAGAGAAGATAGAATCATTGCACCATTCATTGGGAACTCACAGGAAACCCAACAATGGCTGCTATTGATCGGGGACGTAACGGACGTAGGGTCCAGACCCTTTTTTGGGTTCCATCTTGGCTTTCAGGATTGTGCATGGCTTGCCTTTGCCAGGGCTAGGTCAGTGCACGTCCGTTAACTCGCGCAGATGCATGGTGCGAATGCACGTGTTACATAGCATTTCAATGTAGCCAATGAGCAATGGCATCTTCAAATTGCGGCATGCACAGCTATGAAACTTCTGCCATATGTTAATCGAGTAGGCAGTGGCTAGATGACAGCTTTAAGGTTTTATTGAAAGTTGCAACTTTAGACCATGAACAGAGAGTATTGCCAAGACTGCAAAAAGGGGGGAAAGGGTTTGTCTGAAAATAGGGTACCCCAGGTACAGTGATTAATCAACAAAAAATGTGTGTTTTGGGGGGTACACCTCATTTTCAGACACACCCTAATATTGATATATTTCGCCAACAAAGACGGACATGCCACGTAGAGTCCTGCTTTTATCAATGTGCGGTTCGCGCTGCATGGCTCATGTCTGATCTCCGCTCGTCCTTTCGCTACGGCCTTCCACACCGGTTCTGGCCTTCTGCAAGTGAGACTGGCATCGTGCCAACACGGCATGAGCAACACCAACGTTCAGCACGGCAGAGGGAGCAGGCGCCGTTGCAACAGCCACAGGTTGGTCAAAAAATGGAGTCCTGTACCTCCTGTACCTCCTGTACCCCTAAATCCAACCGTTTATCAACATTTTCCATCTCCATATTGCGATTTTGAGGTATAGTGGTATGGTATAGTCTATATACTCCAAAATTTGAACTTTGATTGGCAACTTGTTGAGCTTGTCAGGGATCGTCAGCAAGGGAAGAGATGGGCGAAACCGGTGGGAGAAGCTGAAGCTTTAAGTGAAGAGGGATTTTCTTCAGAAAGCATCCAGTCCCTTGAAAAAGGAAACTTGGATGGTTGGTGATGTCCCATTACATATTACTATGATTATGATTATTTGTTATACATATTTTTGAAAAAACCATCATACATACAAATAAATCTATACATAAGTATGAAAACTATCAATCCTCGGCTGTATCCCCCCAGAGTCAATGTTGATGTCACCCCCCTTTCCACTTTCCATTCCGTATCAGACCAAAGTGACTACCCATATTGAGATTTTTGAATCCCCTAACAAAAAATAAAAAGAGCCCCTGTCAAAAATCTGATTATACTGCTGGTCCAGCTGGTCATACGAATGATCTGACAACCTACTGGATGTCTCTGAAGTCTGGAACCAAGAGGCAGATCTTGTGAGGGTTATGTTAGTCCTTTCCCTCCTCATCCCGTCATTGGATTGGTAATAATCCGAATCCAGCTGCTAGACATGGAAAAACCCATTGGTTCCGACTTCCCCTGGAGAAATCAACAGAATGATCTGAGAAGAAAGGGGTACATTTACTTCCCACATTCTTGGTAACAAGTTCCTGTTTATACTTCAAGTAATACCGCCAACTTGCCAAAGCACGAAAATCATCTATAAACCTCGTCATAGCAAGTTTACATCTATATTCCTGGTGATCCCCATTTTGGTCACCAGGACTCCCTTCGAACTGCGCCAGGTGCAGCTTCGAACACTACTGGGCTCCATCCGCTCAGGGCCGCGACCGAAGGAGGCACCGGCGCCGGTGGCGGTGGAGGGCTGGAGGAACTTCCCAGGGCTTCCGGTCGGGCCACGCTTGGAGCAGCGGGAGGCGAAGGTCCGAGAGCCTTCGATGCGGGAAGCAGCTCAGCAACTGTCGTTTGGTTGGAGATCCAGATATCACCAGGATGGGATGTGGGGGATCTTTTTGGACATTTCGGACGTTGTAAATTCAGATTGACAGTTGGTTCATTTCTACGATGGAACATGTCAAGCCATATCGAGCCAAAGTTTATGTTTAAAGCTGACACACAGACACTGCTTTGCTCAAGAAACAGTTTTCTTTGCACGAAACACCCAACGCAGGGTTCCAGTCACTTTTGTCACGGTCTTTTTTTCATGCCAAAGGCACATGTCCCATCTATGAGAAACATATGGGTTTGACATCGTATGATAAAGATGGACAAAGATGACCAACACTTCTAGGCCTGAGGGGTCCAGTGGTTCACCTGGTTTCATAGGCTACCCCCAAATTTCATAGTTCTCAGCTTTTCCCATTGAAGTGACCATAAAATTGGGCCTAAACATCTCATTTTCATACGGTCTCATCTTTGTTGGTTGCATATATATATAATAATAATAATAATAAATAATAATAATAATAATAATATATAATAATTATACTCCCACAGTCTCCCCCACATGTAAAACAATCCATGACCATTTTGTTGGTTGTTCCCAATTTTTCTGTGGGAATCCCAGGCCATCCCCTTGTTTGCAGGATCCCATTTCGGCTCCAAAACGACCCCAGAGTGCCAACCAAAAAGCACCGTCCACCTCCAGGAGCGACTGGCGGGCCAGGGGGGCCCCATGGGGCGGGCCATGGGGGATCCGCGATGAAAATTGTGATTGAACCACTAACAAATGGTGATTTTTGGGGAGATGAATGGGAAACCTCTGGTAAACTAACAGTTTGCGAACTGGAACATCACAGCATTTTAAAGAGGTAAATCAACCAGAAATGGGGACTTTCGCTAGCTATGTCATCTATGTTATGTTAGTTTACCGAAGGGCATATTGCAATCCCCCCAAACAGAAAGACTTTGGTAAAATCCAATTCTAAAATAGTGGGAACTTACTTTTTTTTAACCAATTTTATTTGGTTACAATAGAAGGAGAGGAAAGGGGGCAAGGGGTGTACAAAAATTCATCCATAAACCACTAGTATTGGATTAACCGTTATTGTGGATCCCACATGAGAAATCCCAGTGGAGCGACTCTGCAGATTTTCTATGAGTCATATTGTCACCCATGGACCATGCGCCAGAACTTGACCTGCCTGAAATCCTCGGTGAGGTTTGCCAAGATGTTTGATCCGAAGCAGCTGCCGGCTGACTTTCGACAGCAACTTTGCAATCTTCCAAGACCTATCGCTGCGCGAGCTTTCAAGCACCATCTCTGTATCACTGGAGTGGAAGGTGAGTTGAGCGAAGATCTTGGCGAAGCACCGCAAACCCCACCAAATACCCCGTCTCACGTGGAGCCTCCCGAAGCTGTTCGACGAAGTGGCAAGAAACGACCTTCGGAAGGAAAACCAGAGGGGTCGCCATCGGCTTCACCCTCTTGGATACAGCGCCACATGCGGATTCCGAGCTTAACATCTGAGATTTCTGAGGCCTCAGCAGTTGAGACAAGAAGATCTAGCACAGTGATGCAGGAGGAGGAAATTCCAGGCTACCTGGTAGAGATGCAGGAGGAGGAAATTCCAGGCTACCTGGTAGAGATGCAGGAGGAGGAAATTCCAGGCTACCTGGTAGAGATTCATCTCCCAAATCTTGTGGAGTTTAAAAAATGCCTATTTTGAGAAGATCTGTTAGATTTTTGAATTCTTTTGTTGCTCAAAATCTGGTTAGAGGCATCATTTTTGTTTGTGAATTTCTACTTTCGACTTTCTTCTCGTTTTTCTCGGTCAATTTCCTTCTATACTCTTGCTGTTGGTTTTTCATTCCACCATCTTTTGTCAACGAAACGCATTTAATTCAACTCAATTCCCTTCCAAAATCTTTCCATTTTGAAGTTAAGAAAAAGTTGAAAGACACCTCCATTTTCCGTGTGGGGAATGGGTCAAAACCTGCTTTTGACCATGTTTGGGGGAACAACCATTCACCAGCTATTTTAGGGTAGGGCACCAAGGTTTTCACCACCATGTTTGTCCCCAAAATTCCATGTCGACCTCCAGGTGGCGAAGAAAGCTCCAGTTCCGCCGCCGACGCCGACGCCGACGCCAGCCCCTCTGGTCCCTCCGCGTTCGCCGCGGCAGCCGAGACCTCTGAGTACGAGGTGCTGCAGCGTCATCAAGCGCCGCCCAAGGTGCATTGGTTGGAGCAACAGGAGAACAGAAACACCATGGTTCGGTGAAACTATGGATAGAAAAATAGCCACTTTGGGATTCGCAAATTCACCGTAGCCAATTCATAGTCAAGAATCTAAAGACGTGTATGACCTTGGGGGATTCTTCTCATCCAGGACCTGGGAATCCCATATTCACCCCAATGACAGAAAGGTTTGGAACATTGCTCAATTAGAGGTGAAACTACTGCTTGATGTTAGTTAATCCATGTTGATCCAGTTAATTAAATTAAATACACTGATTCAGTTAATTAAGTCGATTAAGTCAATCTAGTTAATTAAGTAATTCTAGTTAATTAAGCGAACTAAGCTAATTAAGTTAAATCAGTTGATAAAATATAAGTTCATCAGCAAGTGTTTTTCATTCACCCATAGTTGTAGCCCAAGAGTTGCTATATCATATAACCATATATAACCAGCAGTGACCGATTGGTTCATCACGTGGCAGGAGCTTCGGATTCGGCAACAGCTTCGGCACAGCTGTTTCGACTGGTCCGAGCGGATGGAACGGATGCCACGACAAGCCGGTGGGATGGCAGGGAGGCCCTGGTGGACCGAGGTTGGTGACCCTAAAGTGGCCGGTTTGAGCCAGTGGGTACCAATCGGAGCCACCGAAAAATAGCTATTTTGAGTATAAAAGTGTCAAGCTCTTTTGGGGAGAGTTGATGATTTGGACCCTTTTTTTGGGGGGAGTGGTTGGAAGAGATGGAACAATCAGGAAATGCTGTTCACACGGGATGGTTCGGTGTACTGAGGATGGCTAAGACACCAGTCCCTTGGAGCTGTAAATGCCTGCAGCCAGGGCTCAAGATGTTGACCTCATGAAGTCTCATGAAGAGCCAAAAAAGATGGACCTGCCCGAAATTGGAGGGATCCCGATTTCACCCCCGAAAGACAACATCTCAAACATCTTGTGGTGAAAGATGGTTGGAGATCCATGGACAAAAACAAATTCGAGGACATCAGAGAGACAGCTGGGATAGCTGGGATAGCCGGGATCGCCGCAATAGGAGGTACCCCTTCACAGCAGTCCAAGTCGCCAATGCTTGTGGCACCGACGCGACCGACGCGGCTTAAGGCAATGAACTGGGGTTCAATCTCAGATGTTGCCGTTGATGGAATGTTCGTCGGCAAAGTGGATACAGCTCAAGAATTGTGTACAATTTAAACCACTGAAGCCATTTTTTTTATCCTAAAAAATATCGTCCTAAATAGTCCTAAAGTCATCCGAGAGTCAGGACTTTGCCAATCTTGGTCCTAAAATAAAAACCTTTTTGGATGCCACATGAATGATGACACCGCAACTGGGACCAGGAGCGCTGGGTGCAGAATGTTCGAAGCTCAGGGTGCCGCGGTGCCGCTGGAAATCTGTGTGATCTGGCTGTAACATTTGATGATCAACATATCAAAAGCTGAAAACATCGGAGTAAAATGAAAGGCGTCCCCTCAAGAACCGTTCAGTTTCTATTGGGCATTCAATAACTTTAGATTTTCGGGCGAGAGAAGTAGAGGACTTTCTCCAAACTTGGACCAAGGCGGAGCATGCTGTTTCTTTCGCTGAGAAACCCCAGGCGAGGTCAGCGGCACCTTTGCGGGTCCAAGCGACCAATGTCGATGTATAAGGATGGTTTTGTCAACCTTTGTTCCTTTGCTAGAGCTGTTTTGGCATTAGGGAATGCTTGGTGAACATGTTTCCTTTTTTTTGGATGGTGAAGGATTCTGGCGCGATCTTCTTCTATTCATGTTGATGATGAACACAAGGTCCTTTAAGATTGTGGTTCAAATTGAACCTAAACTTGCGTGCTTTACGCCACGGCTGTTGTTCATGATGCAGGCGCACCAGCCAACAGCTTCTCCATCTTTGCAGGCCTGATCCTTTTTCCATCTTTTTCCGAGAAACGTTTTCTTCTTTTTCCGTTCCCAGTCCATGCTGCTGAAATTGAGGTCGCTGCTTCTGTCTCAGCGGGTCTGGCAGCGTTGCGACCGCGACGGAGGCGGTTGAGTGGAACGGCTGTCCAAGTCGCACATCCTCCAGTGTCGTACTGCTGGGAGGTACAGATGGAGAACCTGCCGACCAGCTGCCAACCAGAAGGCCCAAAGCACCAGAAATGGTTTCATTGGTTCTGTAGGTGGATTCAAGAAAAGGTTTTCTCCGTTTGCTGCTGGCTTTGTTGTGAGACCTCTTTGAGCTGGATCATAAAATCTAGTTTGTGGAGCTGATATTTCATGAATTTTCTCTGACTTAAGCAAGATTGATGAAGGGGCAGGAATCTCCAATCACGTGACAAGTTCATGCTCAAGTGTGTGGGAGGCAGTGTATGACTTCATAGAGGAAGCAGGAGTCGGCAGCTATCAGATTGAACAGGCTCAAAAGAATGGGATGGACAGCTAAAAACGGGCAAACATTTGTGGGTCCCAAAGTCTCGAATTTGGACCCATGTGCGCACACAGATGCATGAACTGTGCGACGAGTATGGCTCAAAATTGTCTACCCTTCAGGCTAGGCTGGATGTGTTAGATGGTTTGCAGCTGTCCATTGGTACCACTTTTTTGAGCCTTGCGCCTCGGGGTCACACTTACCCCAAGTCAATGCCGTGGGGGGGGTCTTGTCACCCCCCATTTGGAGACCGATTTTTGTAGTAAGCCTGCAGGTCTTGCTAGTGGCTTGCTTCTTTTTCAGAGACTTGACCGCAGTTTGTGACGAAACGTTCAAGGGCCTAGAGTTTGCGGCCCCTACTTTTGCAAACGGTGTTGGTTCCCAGTTTGCGTTTTTTGGTTGTTCACTCCACAAGAATCATAAGGTAGCTAGGGGAGAATTCCCTTCCATTCGATGAACTTGTTTGGCACAAGGTTTTCCGATGTTTTCCGTCATTTTCACATTAGGTGTATGCACAATCTACTGGGACCACAAAATTTCCCTATTCACGTTGTTCTTGTTCGGGGACACCAAGCTTTTCTTTTGTTCGTGAAATCCCATTTTTGCTCCTTCCTTTCTTCCATTTTGACATCGTTGGTGATATCGTGACATCCCCAAATGGTTTGCTGGTGTTACCGCTTCTGTGCCCCATTCATGATTATCAAATTCTGAGTTGTGGTTGATGAAATCTTTGGCTGACCAAATCCCATTTTGGCTGGTTAAATTCCAACTTGTGCCATCAAAAGTGCCTTTCTTTGGCATTTTTGGTTAGGTTTTTTACGGGTTAAATCCCCCAATGTTGGATTAGATCCACATTTTTTCCCCTGTGGAACTCGCAGCTACCGCAGGCGAAGCCGCTGAGTTGGATGCCACTGGGCTTGGATATCAGTGATGCCTGATGAATCACTGTCTTTTTGAAGGCTTACTATAAGAAAACAGTTTTTTTTGGTGCTTTTTCCTTTCAAAACTAGATTGCCTTAGGATGTGATGGGGTACTGGGATGCACCCGCAGCTTTTTTCTTTGTTTGCCATTTCATGGTGAAACTCCATGTTCAAAGGTTGCTTGAGTCACCAGATGGATGGTATACCCACTCTTTTTTGGTCAACCCATTTTCGCTTAGCAACACCAGTATTTTTGGTTGCTATGCTTTTGTTTGGTGGCTCCTCTGCCTGAAACAACCATGATTCAGTGCAAAAGAACACCCTTCTGTTGATGATTTTTTTATTGAACATGGGATATTTCCATTGAATCCACTTGTTGCACCTGGAGTAAATCCATTTGCTTTTTGCTGAACTCCCAATCTTTTTTGCTTTTATCCCTGGACTTTGGCAAATCTCTTACAGTACACGGATGTTTGACATCGCATTTCCATTTGGCTGCTGAAATTGAATCTTTTGGTTGCGTAAATCTACAGGTCTTGTTGAGTCAATGATATTATATAAAACACAATATTTTTTTGCTTAACAATAGTAGTTCTGGCTGGTTATATCCACATGTATATTTCTTGCTAAACTTTTCCCGGCTTAAATCAGGAAGGTGCCTCGGTTGTGCACGTGAAAACCGACTCGGTTGTCTCTGAAATCATCATCTCTCTTGCTTAAATCCATTAACTTTTCATATCCTTAAGTTAAATCTGTGACATTTCCGAATCTCCACTCTTTTCAAAGGTTCAATCCCATGTTTTTTTTTTTCTTTTTGGGCTTTGCTTCCAGGTGATCTCGCCCTTGACCACAGCCTGGCGCCTGGAATGGGCGCTGGTCACGGACCAGGCTCGGGATGGTTTTGATTTAACCAGCGAAGATTGGGATTTACTTAGCAAAAATATGGGGACTCAGCAAAACTGTGAAGGGTTAGATGCCCTGTCATTGGTGCCGAAAGTTAGACAAGTTGCGGAAAGCTGAAGAGACGGTGGGAGATTCAAGTTGAACACGTGGGACTTGAAGAGGATATCACCTGATATTTTATATCACCTGGCGGTGGCAATTCTCCTTTTTTTGTGGACATCTTCTTTTGAAGCTGGGAATCTTCCATTTTTGACCTTGGATGATTTGGCATGGTGCAGCAGGTGGCGTTGCTTGCTTCCGTCGGATATCTTGGCTTTGCGGCGCGAGGGCTTAGAGGAGTGGCGCGAATTTATGGTGCTGATCAGGCATGGCGGGAAAATCATGGGAAACTGCGAAGATCGCTGCAGTCACTGCATCAAATATATTTTGATGGGAGATTTTCCAGCATGCAAGGTGTACTGTAACTAGAATACCGGATGCATCTTGACAGCTCTGATTTTGCGTTCTTTGTTGGAAAGATTTGCCTAGAATATATTTTCTGTAGTAGTGGAAACATGTCTTGTACTAAGATTGTTCTAAGATTGTACTCCTATTTTTGTCCACACATCATAAGTTAGGAGTTGTCATTGTGTTGACATGCTCCTGTGAATGCTGGGCCAATAATTCAGCAACCTCCCGGTTGTTTCGTTGGGTTCTTGCAAAGCCTGATGATAAGCAGATGATCTACCAACTGTGCAACCAGGTTATCTACCAAGTGGTAGTGAATCACAGTGAATTCTTGAGATAAATACTTGAGTTGCAACTGGGTTAAGTGGCAGATTCAGTTGCAATTTTGCCCAGTTGCACATCAGTTTGGGCTCCATTTCTTTCACTGAATAGTGGGTAAATAATCCCACCGGATCATGAAACGTCCAAGGCCGGAACACTCCTGGCTGGTATCCTGGGAGACAACTTCGGGTGCGCCGTCAGACTTCAAGGGACACTTTGGACAGGTTGCGGGAAATTTCACACTTTCAAATATCCCAACATGGTGGGTTCTTGTTAAATGGAGATGGCTCGAAAATATGTTGCACCACAATGGTTTAACACTAAAAACTGACAAATTGATGTCCGTAGGTCCCGTAGGTATCAGAGTTGTGGGTCCCTTGGCACCTCAGCTTGCTGACCGGGGTCCGTGTGCTAAGTGTGCACTTCGCAGCACCAGCGCGAGGCGTCGAGTACCAATTCTCTTGGGCTATTTGGGTGTGATGGCAGGGTGCGACGGCCCAGTGAAGCAACTTCTGCATGATAATTTTGCTGACATGAAGGGAGATGAAACATTCAATTTCTTAGGTTACACATGCCCGGATTTTGCTCACTGCTCACCCGTGTTTTGAAGAAGTTGCACGAACTTTGGAACGCGAAGAAACCATGCGCCTCCTAGGGCACTACAAAATCTTCCTGGCAGTCAAAACGATGAAGCGCTATGAGACCATGGGGCAAATGCTTTTATAAATCGATCCGTACCACCAGTTGGATGACAGGATTCCACCTGTGAAGGCGAATCCAGCTGGAATTTGGAGGATGAATCTCTGGCTCCTCGGTGACACCCAAAATGCTTCCAGGTCCTTCGGGATGTGGAGTGCTCCATCACCTTTAGTTGCCAGCTGCCAAGCCGAGTCATACCCTTTGGGATTTTGACACAGCGAAAACGGCTTTTTGGGATCCTTAGTTTGATGCTAGATCCCCTTGAAACATGGTGATTTTCCAGTTCGCAGGCGTTGGGACCGTTGGGAAAGCAAAGGATCGTTTCCCGACCCGTGCCGTTGCCCAGGTCGGTGTGTTCCGTGCACTCACGGGGTTCTCAGCCGCTTTGCATCCTTAAATAGGTGTTTTGTGGGTGAAATGAGGGTGTACCATCTGGTGATTAACTCCACTAAAATCGCAATTTCAATAAATAATATTATATACGTATATATATATAGATCACCAAATTCCATGAAAAAAAGGGGAACATATTGTATTGTAACAGTTTGCAATGGAACATCACCATTAAAATGATAGGTGAATCATCGAACTACATTTGACCACCAGCATTGGAATAGGCGGCCCGTGATCGGTTTTTGTGTCTTGCTGCGGGGAGATGGGATGGCACCTGGGGTGTGACCCTTAGGTCGGGATCGGGGTTCCTGCTTCCTTGACGACCATCGCCAGAACCTCAGGGACGATTTTGGTGTGGACCATCTGACGTCAAGGCACATTGGTTAGTGTCCCCGTTGTCCCCGTCATTTCCACAAGGATGGCCTTCAATGCTTGCCTCCCACCTCCAGGCAGAGATTGCCCCTGCCAAAAGTCCGGAACTTAGCATCGATCCAGCTTGAAGATTGCGCAAGCTTTGGATCATGACAGAGGGGTCTGGGTCAAACCCAATTCATCCAGATATAATCGATAAGTATCGTACTATATTCTGGTTGCTCCGCGACGAGCGCCGCCCTTACCCCGATTATATGAAAGGCTCTGTGCTGGAAGCCGGCATTGAAATTGTAAGGGTGGGGAACGGCTTTTCGAAGTTGAGGAGTATGGTAGCTGGCGATGCAGGTTGAACACGGCCTACTTGGGCCCAACCTAAGCCGACTTGGACCAAACTTGGCCGTACTTGGCCTTACGTTAAGTTGGGCCTGACATGGCGCAAGTTGGCCCCGTTTTGCAGCAGCTTCGCACCAAGTTGGGCCCAACATGGGGAACATTGCCCAACACGAACCTCCAGCGAGGCCAAAAAAGAGGTGTGAAACACAAGTTGAGTCTGTGGGCCGAAGTTGGGCCGAAGTTGGAGCCAAGTGCGCACAAGGTTCGGCCAGCCAAGTCGGCGCAGGTTGATTCAAATTGAGCCCGGCTCTAAACCTTGACTCTGGACAATTTTGTAGCTGTCAAACTACTGACTTTTTTTGGGCTGAACATCCACAACTAGCAATCACTTGGGAGTGAGCACCAAGATACTAGGATTTTGAGACCCATACCACACATTAACACGCACAATGTTCTTGACACCGTGCCCGCTTTCGCAAATGAGGCCGCGCCATGCTGATCAGTGTTTGTTATGCTGCCCTTGCGTCGGGCTCCAAAGCTGAAGCAAAATTAGCCTATCCATGGTTTTTTGATGTTTTTTGGACCAATATAGTCTTGATCCATCTCCAAATGCTCACAGGGCTTTCGCATTCCGAGGCTTGGAGGTCTCTATGCAGTGGATCTCTCAGCTGTTGGGCCTGTGACTGGCTTTCAAGCTGGGTAAGAATCTAAATGGTGAGATTTCCTGTAGAATTTTATGGAGATTTATCATGATTCACCAGTCAGTCGGTGGGTTTTATGTGAAGTGATCTTTATGGTATTGGTATTTATATGTTTTTATGAAACTACCGGGGAAATGATCCCCAGAATGGAAGAAAGAACATGTCAGGTTTGTTTGTGAAACATCATGGAGAGCCCCCGATCTGTGGCTTAGGACCTGGGTCTTTACTTTTTCTTGCCAGACCTCAAATCAGGGGATTGGAGAAGTGGGGATTCCCAGACGCCCAGATGGGACATGTTTGTCCGTTTGTCCCATGTTGGGATGGAGCAGCTAGCGGCGGTTTTATCCCAACTTTTGGAACCTCGGCGGGAGACTTTGGAATCAGCAACTTCTTTGGATGCAATGAAAACCTGTAGCAGCCTGTAGCATTTGTACCTTCTGCCACAGACTGATGAAACAATCTTTCGAGGTTTGTGCTTGTGGTCTGCGGTCCCAGCAGCCATTGCCGCACACTGAGCGTGACTCCTTGGCTTTGGCCAAGGAGTTGCAAAATTGTTTGAACACTCCATGGACCTTTTATTCCGGCCCAAACATTTGTATACATTTGTAACATCATCTTGGAAAGCTTCCAGGCTTCCATCTTGATGGCATGATAATATGGAGATGGCTGGAAGTTTGTTGGAGGCATTTCCCATTGCACTCTTCGAGCTGGAGGCGGGGTTCTCAACTGCATGCTTTGGCTTGAGATAACCACTGTAGAAATAATCCCAATCAAATCATAGGAAATGGTTAAGGTTGTATAATAAGGATTAAGTCGAGAAGAAAATTAAAGAATTCTTTGACTTTTTTATTCAATCGTTAATAGATTATAATGGAGCATAGCAGCCATTGCAGGGAATGGTTATTGGGTGCCAAGGTGTATTGGCCATGATGGGTCACATTGTCAAACATGTAAGGCAGTGAGTTGGGGTTTGCAGTTCAATGCCACGCAAAAAAAAGACAACTGCCTGGTTTGTGTAAGAACAGGGTCCCCAAAGTCCAATGTTTTTAGAACCGCATTTTCTCTAGTAAAATGGCCACAAATTGGGGGCAAATCATTCAGTTTCAGACACAACCCAAATATCAAACATCAAACACATGGGAATGGATCAACTCCGACCTCCAACCTGTTGACTGCCGTTTCTATGTCATATTGAATCAGGTTCTTTTTTGCCGCTTCTTGTCTTGCCCTCCCCTGGAGACTCCCATGGATACCCCAAAATAGCTTTGGAGAACCGGCTTCCCATGGAACATCAATACCTTTTGTTGGTTTCCGATTTCAAACCGTCACCTTGACATTTTCGGAATGTGAACCTTCGCCCAAATTTAAGACCGCATTGACCATCGCATTCCCACCGAGGATACACCCATCTTTCACTTGCTGAAGGCTGGGGCCGGGCAGCAGCTCGCCTGGTGTGTCCTTGAGTCACTTTGCTGGCAGGGTGATACAGAAAATGTGAAGAGGGTGCTGCTCTCAGGTTTGGTCTGAAGACTACCAGGAGTTCCTCAAAGATTTTGAAATGGCCCAGAATTGGTGGGGAAAATTTACGGTTGACACTTGAAACCCCTGTAATTGGTGGTAAAAACCATTGTTTCAACCGTATTCAACCATTTTTTCCCTTCAACAAATCCATTGAATTTTCATGTTTCTTTTTAACTTTCCATTTTTTGCAGAGTATCAAAGATTTTGCCCATGCAAAGATGTGTTCAGCTCATTTTATTGGCAAACAATCCGAAACGATTCCATTGGCATTGTGGTTTCAATCTGATTGAGGTCCTGTCCAAGATGGCGGAACGTAATGATCGCAAGGCACTGAACAAAACATGTGAGTCGTTCGTCGAGGGGTCATTTTTTTCTGGATTTAACAAATATGGGATATCATATGGGAATGTACTGTAAAAAAAATGAATGGAATGGGGATAGATACCACATAAATGGCAATAGGTCAGTAGTATTCAATAGGGAACATGATGATTAACCTTGGGATTTTGGTGCGTACCCGATGGACTAAAAGTATCTCCAAAAAGTTTTGGCTGGTGATCTTATAGTTTTAGTTCCGTTCAAGGTGGTGCCCCAGTTATAAGTTGGTTTATTTCCACCATTATAATGGATAATTCTGCCATAAACCATAGTTACCATAGTTCAACTACTTATAAACCAACTGAGCTATCCTCAATCCATCATAAATCCCGTCACCTTTTGCTTAAATCCCCATGTTTGTTGGTTAACCATGGTTAACCCCCTGGAAATCCCCATGTTTGTTGGTTAACCATGGTTAACCCCCTGGAAATCCCAATGTTTGTTGGTTAACCATGGTTAACCCCCTGGAATGATTGTGCCAGCTGTGTCCAACAGCTGATTCGACTAGGTCCAGTGGACTCTCCCACCAGCTCCCGCACGAACGAGCGCTGCCGACACTGCGGACGCTTGTTGGCACGGCGGGGGCGGAGGATGGAACCAACGTGGCTTTCTGGAACCAACGTGGCTATGGGATCAAAATCCTAATCCATGTGAACCTCGAGGTAGCTAGTTGTGGATTTTCAATGATTTTCATCCACCAACATATCCAGGGTTTTTCGTGTTTTTTCGAGCTTTTGATGCATCCCCATGTGCACCAAATATACCAAGAAAAGATGGGATGCAACTTGAAACATCGTATGACCGCACGGGATTGAACCCCTTAAAAAATCCTCAACAATCAGGATAGAGATATCAGACATGGGGATGCAACTGGTAACCAACCCTCTGGTTTCGAGGGTACTATCCGATCCATCCATTTATACCATCATGGTATTGATGGATGGTTTCATGCATGGATGGCAGAAGTGGTTCTAGATGAAAGGTCAAGACATGTATGCCTTATACTATTCTTTATGTGAGGGAGGTGACATTACACCCTATTTTGCCATTAGGCGCAACAACTCTAGTGTTATTTTCCTTGGGAAGCCTTGTGAAGTTGAGAGGCAATTGAAGTTGTTTAATATTCAAAGTAAGGCTGTGAAGCAAATGAGAGCAGAGGGCACACAGCATGTACTTTTCTTCTGGAGCCGTTAGACTTTGACTGCCGGATCTTGTCATATTTAAAGGCTTACGCCTGACAGCCGGGCGCCGGCCAAGCAACGACGTTTGGCTGGCTGATGGTGTGGGAAGATTGGGCTCCAGGAAGGAGCCCGGGGCGCAAACGTTGGCATTTTAAAGCAGTCTGGGCCTATGTTGAACGCAGGTTGTGCCCATGTTGGGCCAAGTCGGGCCCATGTTGAGCCATCGGGCCCATCTTGGGCTTATGTTGGGCATGTTGAGCCATGTTGGACCCATCTTGGGCCTATATTGGCCCAGGTTGGGCCTATATTGGCCCAGGTTGGGCCTATGTTGGGCTATGTTGGGCTCATCTTGGGCCCATGTTGGGCCTATGTCGGGCCCATGTTGGCCTATGTTGAGCCTATGTTGGCCCATGTTGAGCCATCTTGGGAGCTATGTTGGGGCCATGTTTGGGCCATCTACGTTGAAAGAATCTTACGATGCCAATTTTTCCGCCCAGGGCCCCTCCTAGAGCCCAAAACCACGACGTAAAAACCGATGTTTTTTAACATCGGCAAGATGAATTTCCTTGCCGCCGAAGGGCCCGAAACACCGTAAAAAACGATGTTTTTGAACACCGCAAGCAAAACACACCATAAATTACAGGTCCTTCAGTCGACACGAAGTGAACCCGGGGTGGTTCGGGGGTGGGTCAGCGGCAGGGGGGCAGCGCCTATAACCTTCGGTTACCACCGAAGGCCTCCGGCAAGGACACGGGCTCCCCGGATTTTGACGGTTCCTGTCTCCTCCTTTCTGGAACTAATATGCTTTGGACCAAAATGGTACCTAAAAATGGCCACTTAGAGGGGAACTCCAATGGTTACCAATCCATTGGTCCACTGGGGGTTTCCAATAAACTGGTCACCCAGGACGTGTTGGCACTCTTCAAGAGCTCTGCAGTTCCACTGCTGGGCTGTGCGATGTGCGGATCACAGGGTGGAGAGTGGGTGGAACGGGAGGACATCAGACGGGGATCAGACGACTGACAGGTAAAGCCAATGTCTCTGAAAACGGGGGGGTTAAGGCTAAAATTGGCCAGCCAATTATTATGGGAATATCATGAATGTGGATAAAAAACCATAAAATCTGATGTTTGGGTCTGTCTGAAAATAGGGATATCCCGTTATGACAACTTTCATAGGGGAAATGATGATGATCTGAGACGATGGGAAGGTGCTGATAAACAGCAGTTGAGGTTGGACTTTGCCTACAACTTCACGGGCTTTGGCTGCGGCCCCTTGGCCTCAGGACTAGATCGTTGCTGAGGCTAAAGTTGGAACTATCTTTGGCACAATCAATTAGTGGCAACCAATGTGGCCCACCAATGAATCTAATCATGGATCCAGCGCCCCAAGGCTATTTCTTTCCACTGTTCATCTCCGAACTTGCAGAAGGTGCGCCCATACCACCAGCCGGTCCCTCAGAGCTGAACCAGAGCTCCGAAGATGGCTCAAATTGAGTTTGAGTTTGACAGAATTGGAGAGTGTCACTTTCTGAGATATGAATGTAGAACTGTAGAACTGAAATTCTCGAGGTTCTGACTCTTAGAATTGGAGGTACCCCTCGATAGAGACTAATCATCATTTTCCCAATGAACATGGCCACAACTGGGTCAATCCACCATTTTTCACTTTTTCAAAGGTCGCTCCGCTTGGACGCAAGGTGGGCGAGTTGGTCTTGGCCAACTTGGTGGCTTTTCCAGCCTTCTACCTGTCCACGCAGGCGCCTGTTTGGCATTTCGCCATAATGGGATGGTACCGATTGACGATGATTGGCGATCATTGGCGATCTTGGCGCAAAATCTGCTATTTTTTGCGATGCAGACACAGATGATGTTTGAGGGAGATGAGAGAACAAATTGTGAGGTATTGAAGGTGGGACCAGCTGAAATAAAATTCTTGTACTCAACTTTCGGCAACTGTTCCTTGCGACTGCGGATTTGTTTGTTTAAACGGGGTCCGACCCAATTGTTACAACCCTTTGACCTCAAACTGGCTCATCAGGTGTTGAACTTGGACTTTGGCTACAAAAAGGCACTTCCCCCACCACCAAAGTGGGTGGTTCATTGTCCCCAAAGCAAATAGAAGAGACGAAGACAGACTCCCTCCTGCCCTTTGTGCCTTGTTCTCCCGCACCCCTTGCAGGAAAAGTTGCCAGCTTTGCGGTTGCTGACCCCATATGTTGGAGCCATGCCCTTTCCTCCCCCGGCAGATTCTGGTGGGCATCGGCTTGATCGAAATTTGTGCCTGTCTTTGCTTGATGCAAGCAGGGGTGGCTCGACACAGATGGGGGGAATTGGCACCAGACGTTTGGGTCCCTGAAATCGAAGAAATGCGGGCAGCCATGATTTTTGATGAGTATTACTGTATTACTGTATTTACTCCATCTTTTTTTGGGACAGAAAAAACGGAGCATCCCCTCAACTCTGAGTTCTTTGTGATGATCCCATCTTTGGCATGTGAAACATGGGCTTTCCAGGGACCCCTGGTGGAGGTTCCGTGCAACTTTGAGGTGCCTGTCCTGGAGATCCTAGGGATTTTCATCTTGAAGCTGATGATGGTGTAAGACTCCCAGTCGATGCTGAGCAATCCACCCCTGGGGTCAGCAAAATTTCGGCAGTTCTATTTTTTTGGTCATGGCTCAACCGCGAACTGCGATCTCAGGTCCTTTTCCCAGACGGTGAATGTTGTGAAGGTCGGCTAAGATTTGTTGGTACGGAAGATCTACCGATCAGATTTGTTCCGTAGATCTGGCCTGGATTATCAATTAAGTATGGCCTTGCTTCCGTTGGACATCCATCCCACTTGGCCAGTAGGTAGCAACAATGGAGATGGCAAGTCTCCCGTTCTTGGGGTAATCCGGTTTACTGTATTTGAATGCTTGGATGCATTCCCATCCATTCTGTTGATTGTGTTGTTTCTCCGCCCTTGGATCTCGATACAAAAATGCGGGGGTGCCAAGGGACAAAACAACATTGGCCTTGCTCTTCACCCACCATGCAGTGCAGCGATGTTTGATCCACAATGTAGCCATCCCTTGTTCTTCAACTTCTTTGTTTGGGGGTTTCGTATGGCAGAAACAGTGTTGGACCAGCCCCTTTCACTTCCTCAGGAGTTTCCATCTTCATGGGTTATTGAATTCTTGAGCCAATTAGATTGCTTCACCCTTGAATGGACCAGTTTGGCTAATCAACTTCTTGAACCAATCAACTTCCATGGGGATTTCATCCGAAGTCTCATCTCACCAACCAATCCACCTGTAGAATTCAATGGTTTCTCATCACTTTCCCTAGTATTCAATGACAATTTTCCCAGGGGTAATCTTCCCATCTTGACATACCCAAGCTGTTGCCATGGGTTACCTGTAGGTTTCCCCCACAAACCAGTCCTTTGACCTAGCATTGGTTCGTATGAGAATAGGGTATCCCCAAATTTGATTGTCATGATCTTCGCCCTTCGCCACTCAAATGGTAATTTGGATATCCCCCATTTTCAGACACAATCACTTTGGAACATTTGCAGGAAAATCCTATATTAGGAAAACTAATGGTTTCCAGTTTCCAGTAGATTTACCCATCAACTACTCCATTGAAATCAGGGTTCTCCCCCAAGTTCTTCCGCTTGAATCCCAAATTTCGGCTGCTTTCTAGAGCCAGTCGCCACCGATGTTCAAAACTATAGATTTTTATAGTAAATTAATATACATTAATCTAATTTTGGATGAATTTAGGGTACCCATTTTAGGAACTTCCATTTTCCATCCGGCTGTGCAGTCAGAGACCTTCCCCTCCAAGATCCGTGTGTCGGCTCTGTCGGTTTCTGGCACCTGCGGTCGGATGGGTGCCTTATTGGCCCCGGCCCTGATCGAGGCGACGACGATGGGAGTGGCCATTTTTTGATCGGCCAGGGGAGATACCCAATGAAATATGGGGTTCCATAGTCATGGGGGTACCCCCAATAGCTGGATGGTCTGTAATGGAAAATCCGAAAATAAAATGGACGATTTAGGGGTACCCCCCATTTATGGAAACCCCATATCATGACATGTTATGAAATATGTATCCAGTATGTCTCCAGTCTCATACAGAATGACTGGGCAACCTTTGTTAGATACTAACTAGTACTTTAGTCTTTCGCTATCAATGGTCACATCTACTAATCGGCTAAAAGTTAGATCTTTTTAGCAGGTATCTAAGATTCACCTGGGAATATGATGGGATACAGCGGCATTAATGTAATTTAACTGTTTGACATACGGAGTATACGATTTTATGGGGATATAGTGGAGATAACATGGGGATGTAATGGGGCTATATATATACATACATATATACATATTGTGGTTATAGTGTATCATATAGTCATATGGTACATAGCCAACTATAGAGATATACACTGGGTGTAATAAACCAACGGTATATTTTGTGGGATTCTTCATTATGTGAACTATGGAGATTTCTTGTTTGTCATGGGGGACCGCAGACTATCATCAATCATCCAAGTTTTTTTTTTACTGGGATCAGTTTTAATAATAATAAATATCATAATTATTATTGCATAATGATACTAAAGACACATATTTTTGTTGTATAATAATCCAGCATTGAACTTCAATAAAAATGACAGGGAATCCATGGGAATCCAATGGTTTTGGGGGTCCCCAGTTTGATACATACCCAGTTGGATCACTTTAGGCCACCAGGGGTCCGCACAGGAGACTCGCGGGGCCCCAAACAGCCCAGAAGAATTCCGCGTCTTTCTCTCCATCTTAGCACTGGGCTCAGCGTTTCCACCTTTTTTTTTTCCGGCTTCTTGATTTGAGAAATTCCTGGTGTATACATTCACATAGTGACATAGTGCATTTCACCGATGTCGGCGCGACGGAAGCGACACAGGTTGCCGTTCTGGTGATTGCTGCCAGCGTGGGGGTCTCGCTTCTGCTCGTCTCTCAGGGCGACTTCACTGGCTGACCTAGGAGTTTGTAAGGATTTGTAAGGGGTTATCATCCCCAAATGGTTTATAACACACAATACGTATATATATATAATAATAATAATTATTATTATAATATATATATACATTATCAATAAAGAAATAAATTAATGAATAAATAAATACATGAATAGATCAATGAATAAATGAATAACGACACATATATGCATATATATGTATATATATATACACATATATATATACATACATATAATATACATATACATATACATATACATACACATACATACGCTAAGACATTTTTGCCCTGATTGGAGTACTTGGATCAATCGAGTAAGTGGATGGTACCGGGCTCATCGATCCGTTGCCAAGTTCCTGCGTGGGATGATTGTGGAAGCATGTCCAAAACCAGGTACATTCTCCTGCAACCCATGAAATCCCATGAAATTCTCCTACAAAACCAGGCTGTTTCTGCAAACTGTGGACTCTCCAATATGATTCATAGCCAGAAACAACTCATTTGAACATTTTTACGGTCCTCAATGTTTTGGAACCCACCTGTCTATATGTATTTTCATTATATACACACATGTGTACACACATGCAATTCTATTCTATATGTATATTTCACAAAATCTACACATGTACAATTACATATATATATATACAGTATATATATATATGTGTATATATATATATACAGTATATATATATATATATGTGTATATATATACACAGTATATATATATATGTATATATATATATATTCGTATGTGCCACGGTCAAATCGGATTGTATACTAATATTGGGGGATGGTCATCGATCCATTAATAGGATTTACATGCCTATTGTAAGGATTCCCAACGTGACATGGACTACCATAAACTATACACCATGTTTTGGCCATGGCACATACACAATACGTATGTATGTAGACGTATATATATATATATATATGAATGTAATGTAATGTAATGTAATTTTGGGCTATCTCAGTATCTCTCATGTAATGTAATGTAATGCAATGCAATGCAATGCATGCATCCATATATATATATATATGGAACGGAACATCAAATTAGTGGATATTTGATCTGCAGGTGGCTGGACCTAGCCCAAAAAATTGCGCCCAGAGATCTGAGGCCCGAAAGCAAGGGGAAATCCCTGGCGTGATCGGAGCCTGGCAGAAAAAGGCTTGGCACGTGCTGCAGGCAGTCTACTGTTCGCCCCTGGTTGATTCACAGGGGAGGTTCCAGATTGTGATAAATGCCAATGAAACATCCCCAAAATGGAGTTGAAGTCAGGAGGTTATTGCAAAAAATACTCTTGGGGTTAGGGCTGCACTAGTCAGCCAGAGTTAACTCCGGAAGACCCGGAGGTGGCATCACTTGTGATTTCTCTGAGGTCACTCGAAACTGGCTGAACAGGAACAGAAAGACGGCAGGTGCAGCCCCTGGATGATTGTTGCTGGAGATGGAGGCATCTGTCGCATCCTGATTTATCTGATTGATATTGAGGACTCTCAATTTCACCCAAGACCTAATATGAACTGGTCTCATCTGGTCTCTATCTCTGCCGAGAAAGATTCTCAACTGGCAATTTTGGGCCTTTGTGCACACTGCAGGACCTCAATGGGGATGAGACTGGAAGAATTTCTGTCACTTGGCGATCGTTTGGGATCGAAAGCCACCATTGAATTTGTGAAGATTCACTTTTTGGATCTTTCTTTTGCTGTATGAATTTCTTGGGTGTCCATATTTTCGAGCCGCAGCCACCAGACCCCCCACTACATCTTTCAGACCCTCAGAAGAGCTGGGGCGACTCAGGTCCCAAACGTTACAAGAGCACAGTCAGATCTGCAGCCGTGACGGCGCCTATGTCAGATCTGCAGCCGTTTCCGGAGTGCATGTGTTGCACATGAAAGTTGCACAGGAGGAACACCAATGAGTTTTCTTCGGATGCCGGAGCCTGTAAGCTGCACCTGGTCGCCTCCAAAGTGTGGCTGAAAGTCGTTGGAAAGTCGTTGGAACCGTGGATCCTTTTTCAACAGATCAAGATGTCACTACCCGCGCGCGAAAGTTCACAGCCGAATTGGTGTTTCCTGAGCTGCTAGATGCTGCTAGCCACTCTCCCATGTCAGCCTTTCGAAATGCTGGCACCCCAAACTCATTTTCTTAGGGCTCATGACCCGGATATTCGCCCTCTCGCTCCTTCCTGGCTCATTGAAGATGCGATTTCGGATTTTAATCAATAGGTCACTCTGCACAGTTTTCAATATGCACAGTTCCTATTTTGCACAGCCAAGGCCCAAAAAAAGCTGACTACCAAGCTTTGCCAGAGTTTTCAGACGTTTGGGAACTCTCTTAGCTTCCGATCATAGCCCGGCTCAGCGGTTTAGATCCCTGCGCTGCGCTTGCCGCAAAGACTCGCGGTGATCGAGTTGGGAGGTGACTTGGACCTCCAACTCCTTTAAGATGCTCTTTTCTTTTTGGGAATATCCATTTCCTTTGGTGATATTCCTTTGATACACTTGGCAATATGTGGATGGGTCTCCGGAAGCCCATTTCTTGGGTGCCCAGGAACATGATTCATCTCCATTTTTCTTTGATTTTCTCTGGAAATACCAAGATCTCACCGAATTCTTCAGCGCTTCAGGCCTATTTGCTCCCCCAAACATCATCCATTTTGGGTACGGCACTACTGCAGTTGCCCCATTGATCAATAAGTTATTTTCCCAATGTTTTCGATACTTTATGTCTCTTGCGGGACACAAAAACCTGGACAATTTTTCACCCTTTTACTGACTAATATCATCTAATATCTCTTGCCCCCCCCCAAGAATCCCAGTTTTAGTATTGATTTATTATGAGGTATTCATTTTGGGGTGCCAAATGAAGGGTCTGGAGCCTTTTATTCATGGGGACCCTTTTTTTTCAGTGCCCAGGATCAGATGATCCACACCTTTGAGGTGGGTGAGATGATCCACCCAACAAACAGAACGTGGATGAACATCGAACATGGGAAGACCAACTGAAATTGTTGTTCATTTTGGGGTGCCATGGAAAGCGGACCAGTTGACCAGTCGAAGTCCAGGAGTTCACGGACCTCCAAGACTGGGATGATTTGAATGAAGCCTTTTTTCTTGGACATTTGAGGGGTCCTGGAGTTTGGGACCCATACTCCAAGATATCTAAAACAGAACTTCTCTTTCGAGTCAAGCACATTTTGACGCTGACTTTCCTG